ATCCTGACACTTTACGTGTGCGTATGTGTCTAAAGGTAAGAAATCAAAGAAAAAAAGGCACTTTTATTGACGACACGCGACCGTTAGGTAGGGCCGTCCCGTATGGGAAACCAATCACATCAATCACGGATTATTAAAAATTTCAACAACATCTACGTCATCTCAGAATCGAAGAAAAGCTGTCAACATCACCAGAGAACTCGGATCAGAACAACAGAACAATAAAATAACAACAGAAATAATTAGTTTCGGAAAGGAATTCTGGAAGGAGAACGATGTTGAAATACTCTTAATACCTATAATGGTCAGGCTTGTAAGGACCGTCAATAGGCACACCAAGGTATGCGGATTGTTCTTCGGTAAGCTTCGTAAGCTTCACACCGAGCTGATCCAGATGCAATCGTGCGACCTCCTCGTCGAGTTTCTTAGGTAGCACGTACAGACCAACTTTGTACTCTTCGGGGGTACCGTATTTGGTCCAGAGTTCAATCTGGGCCAGAACTTGGTTGGTGAAAGAGTTCGACATGACAAACGATGGGTGACCAGTAGCACAGCCCAAGTTTACAAGACGACCCTCGGCAAGCAGGATAATGTGGCGACCGTTCTTCATGAGGTAGCGATCGACCTGAAAAAAAATATATTTGAAGAAAATACCGTAAACTTACAAGTTCACCGTCAATTTAGTGTGACAGGACAGAACGCATAGCTCAAATATCTTTATTTGGTGGAGATTTTATCGTCATGGTCCCCTCCATCAAATAGTTTCTAGTCAAAAACTGGGACTAAAAAAGTGGATTGCTGCCATAGTGTTTCAAAAAAGCGCGGCATTTTGAAGGCCCATGAGCGATAATCGGATGGATGGAAACTCTTGACCACAGCACTTTTCTCAATAGAGCACCTCTACTCTTTACCGAACTAGAAGCAGGGAAGCACAAAATCGGTAGTCTCCGCCCATTCGTTTGTTGCGGAATGCATACTTAAGAGCGTTCTTCGCTTCCGTTCAAGAAATCTCTCTCAAGTTTCGATTCTAACTTAAGACCCTTGATCTGAAGAATATCAGATACACTACTGAGTGATCTGAGGTACTGCACACGTGTAATCAACAGTCAGACCCAAAATGCCTGGTCTAGGAACAGTGCTACATTAAAAGGCGCAGCACATAGTGGACAGGAATAGAGGAGACATCAGGCGCAGTTCGGCTTGTTGAGGCTACTTCGCTGGTTCCCCATCGTTCAGCGCCGATGGTTCCTGAGGAAACCTCCCTCTAAAGCTAGGCTGTAAGATGAGCTTCAGGTGAGACGTGTAATCTGAGAGGAACTAGAAAAACCTAGTGGATGTGTAAAATGTCCCTGCCTCCCCCTAAGCCAAACATCGTCGAGAGGTCATTAGCGTCACTGGTGACAGCGCGCTGGTAGGTATGGGCAGATTCTCTTTCGCTGACGACGTCTTCCCAACCCATGTCCAGCAGGTCTCTTCCTTCAAGGATCAATGAACAAGTGTCTACGCAGAAACCACAAGCCCACCGACCAAACTCGCCCTTTGCTAGCTTCAAAACTGGCAGCCGGGCGATGTATATTTCACCAATTTAGCGCTTGAACTGCAGGTGAACTCCCATAAACAAAACCTGCAATTACCTGAGGCTTGACAACTTCCTTGCTGACAGCATTCTCATTCAGCCATTTCACATCGATCTCGCAATCGAAGTGTCCAACGTTGCACACAATAGCGTCCTCAGGTAGCTGTTCCATATGTCGGCCAAGAACGATGTCCTTGCAGCCGGTTGTAGTGACAACGATATTAGCCCTAGGAGCGGCCTCGTCCAAGGTGGTCACCTCGTAACCTGAACAACAGCTATGAGTAGAAAATCCTGAAAATATCAATTAAACTGTGGCGTACCCTCCATAGCGGCTTGAAGAGCATTGATGGGATCGATTTCGGTCACGATAACGCGCGAACCGAACGCTTTCAGTGACGCAGCTGATCCCTTTCCGACATCACCGTATCCGCAAACAACGGACACCTGAAGAGTTGGAGTTGGAGAGAGCACAACGACCAATTTAGCACAAGGAATGTACCTTTCCGGCAAGCATGACATCAGTGGCGCGCTTGATACCATCAGGCAGTGACTCGCGGATTCCGTAGAGGTTATCGAACTTGGATTTTGTGACGGAGTCGTTGACATTGATTGCTGGGACCTGAAGGACAGGGATTTAGAATTAAAAAGGCGGAGGTTTCTAGTAGTAAAAAATGTCGTCCACAGTACCTTCAGTTCTCCCTTCTCGAGCATCTTGGCGAGGTTATGAACTCCAGTCGTAGTCTCTTCGGACAATCCACGAATACCTTCAAGGTACTGTGGGTACTTCTGGTGAACAAGGTTGGTGAGATCACCTCCATCGTCAAGGATCATGTTAAGGGGTTGACCATCCTTGAAGACGAGAGTCTGGAATTGCGTTAGAATTTGAATCATAATATTGCAGCTGTAGAAATTAATGTGAAGTCTTTGACAGGAAGGGTATATTAATTTAGTAAAAAAAAACGATCGCTGCGGTGGTCCTTGACTTTATTTAGGGCCTACTTTTGGTGTTTGCAAGGTGGGTGAAACAATTCTTATTGAGCTCTCCGTTATGTAGCAGTTTTATTACGGTTGCTATTTTATGAAAACGTGAGGGTGATTCGACTAATCGCATACACAAGCGGTGGTGGCCATGAATTGTATCGCTTGCCACGTGCAGCCGCGAAAATTAAGCAGCCCGAACTGAATCACTTTCCCGAAGCTTCGGCTGACTTTTAGTACCGCTGACGGCCTTGCAAAGGGCGACTGTAGCACCGTGCGAAACCCCGAAAGTAGAAGGGCTACAGCCTTTGTTTGCTGCGGGGGCTGGGGTGGGTCAGGGAAAAGGGAGAAGGGGGGCTTCATATACCGCGCCAGCGTGTTTTTCAATTGCTGTCACTTGTTCGCTTACAATCGATGAAGAACGAGTTGGAACCGCCGCACGCATACCCCGACACGCACCTACCATCCGCGGGCGAACACGAGACTGTATGCATACCATAACGACCCAGGAAAGGGAATGATGAACCGCAACACTCCACCCTTCTGTCTTTCAAATCCCACTTACCTGCTCAATGCACCACTCGTATTCTTCGTCGGTCTCGCCCTTCCAGGCATAGACTGGAACGCCAGTAGCAGCAATAGCGGCAGCAGCATGGTCTTGAGTAGAGAAAATGTTGCATGACGACCATTGCACCTGAAATATATAATGAGAATGGAATGGAAACCATACTAATGGATTCTTACAAATTGGCTCTTCAATGATAGCTCACATGCGTGGCCCGCGAGGTAGCGTAACGTATACATTGACGCCACAGTTAGCACGTAATGATGATCGGTCAACGTCATTAAAGTCGCTATAAGAATCACTGACAAATGACACAATGAGAAGGAACGAACAAGAACAGCCCGCAATTATGTCAGCCCCGTCTGCGCGCGCGTTAAGCGCGCAAATTCTAGATGCGCGTCACCAGCTCTCATCAGTTGAAGCCGCAACACTCGTAGGAGTTCAAGCGGAGACAATACGCTATACTAAGTGATATCGATCTTTCGCGTCCCTTTACCTCCACATTCAAAACGGCTGTGGTGTGCACGACAACTCGTCTCTAGCGTGCGCGGCGTCTCTCGCCCCGCTCAGCATACTACGATTGTCCTGACACATACCCGATAAAACGCTGGTCTCCACGTCATTGAGCATTATGAGACACCTCAATGTCCCCTTTAATGTGCTAGATGACACGCCATATCCTAGTTTTTAACAGTAAGGAATTCGCGCTTTATTTTCACATCCCTACGCCAATTTATACAACGTAATCTATACCAGAAAACCGTATTGGCTATTATCCCAACTGCTATCGCAAAGGCGCGCTTCACTAGGTAATTCACACGTGATGACGTCAAGGTGATAAAAAGCTGTCTTAAGAGCTGCTTACCTCAGCACCAAGCTCGATAAGAGTCTCGATAAGAACTGCCGTCTGGATGGTCATGTGAAGGCATCCAGCAATACGGGCACCCTTCAACGGCTTGGTTGGACCATACTTCGCACGGCATCGCCATCCAGTTCCAGGCCATATTCGATGTCTCAGCGATGATGATCTCTGAAATGTAGTTTTATCAAATTACACTCGACTTACATTACTTGGGCCTAAAACTGGTACAGGCGCGAGGTTTTCTAGGGGTGCCATGAAGAAGACTATCCCTAAGGGTCCCTTAAATGCACAATCTTCGCCGATAGGCAACAAGACAGAGGACCTGTGTACCTTTCCAAGTAAACGTCTCAGAAGTACAGGACCTGGGAAATAGGCGCCGAAATAACGATGCCTCCACACACTCGATGAAACGTGGGTTGCATTTAACAACGCCCCCAGGGCAAACCTCCTACTACCTGCATAGCAATAATTCGCGTTGCAGGGTACTTTGGGGAATTGCACGACTTTTCATTTATAAGTTCGCGCACTTCTGCAATTCTTTATTCGCAAGTTGAATAGCTATTTATTTATACAGCCGCCGGCGCTTGCAACAGTAGTGCGCGGCGTTTTCGCGACAAAGGGAAGTCGTCAAAAAACTGGTGGAAAATGATTTATCACCGCGCCAAAGCATACCGCTGTGACACTCCCCATCATCCGCGGTGAACCAGACTATACCTTACTAGACGATTTCCCATTTAAATTCACCATATTAACAAACTTCTGTATAAATCTAGCGCGCGTTTCGGAAAAAGAGGCGTAAACAGCAGAAACAGCAGACACTACTGAAGTTGTAAAAGGCAGAAAGCCTTCTGCTAACATACCTTACGACCAAAATCGGCTAGGCCGATATCAGCGACCTTGTAGGCGGGCTTGGAAGCGGCCATTGTGTCGTTTGTTACCTACAATATAGAACATTTTGCCTTTATTACAAGGAAAAGCATTTCAATCGAAATCCTAATCGCGACGAGAAAACACACACACTATACGATATGACGTGTAGGTCTCAGATTTCGGAATGCCAAATATTTTCAAAATCAGCAAGAATAGATAACCGAATTCACTACGGGCGAAATCCTGAAAAGAGCGGTGGCCTAAAATTCAAATTGACAAAAAGCGTAAAGTTCACGTCTAAAGGATGCAATTGTGTGTAAGTGCGGTCGAGACGCACTCTTTACGCAACAAGTGCGAACATTTCCGGTTCCAAGATTTTGGTGAGTATTGACTTCTTTTTATGGAAATAATTCAGCATGGTTCCTCACCTGAGAGGAACCTATAGTTCGTGAGCGCAGTCTCCAGCGACTTTGCACTTTTCGGAACTAAGCATAGAGAGCATTTAAAATCAAGACGATTACTGCAGGGATGAGAACATGGGCCTAGCCTGGGAGGAACAGGTTCCGGGATGAGTAAATCAATTCCTGCACGCAAAAAGCGGGGCTTTCAAACCATCGCAACGAATAGTCATTCTATGGTTCAGCTCAGGCGATAGTTCACGCTCATAGTTCGAAGGGTATAATTGCGAACAGATTGGCAGTGGCTCGATTGCGCACGTTTGTTTGTAGTCACAGGCAAAAAGTTCTTTTTTCTGTAGCAAAATATGGTCTCACTGCCGCTGGAGCGTTCCTTCTATAGATAGGTGGATTTTCCGCATAACTGGAGAGATGAATGAATTAATATGGCTGAATTTCAGAATCAAAAGCCTTTTCCATGTGTTCACGAGCTCACCCCCGTATTGCCGGCCGCGTATTCCTACGGCGTAATGAAAGCCCATTCGACGGTTTTTAAAGGCACTGACCCTCCTGAAAACGCCCCCATTTTAGGCCACGCCTACGGGCCACCTGTACGAAAAATCAGGCGATTATTGAATCAGACGAGCGATAAAAGCGTGGATGAATGGAAGAGACTGAAGGGAGAGGGGCGGCCGGTTACGTGGTGAAATAGTGACGAGATAGCGATCGACCGAGCCTTGACCCAACGATGCCGTCGCCATGATAAAGGGCAAATTTCCAGGAAATTCGAAGGAACAGGTCTTTGACCATAGGATTCATTGAAC